TTGGAGACCTCCCAGGCTCAAACAGGGGGATCTTCAGCACTCAATTCAACTGCAAGGCAGGAGTTTGGGGGCAGCTATAATAGTTACTACCGAACATTGAACCGGTTAACCAGGATGCCTTTGCTAACAATGGCATCGTTTTGCTTTCTCCATAGATAAAGATGGTCCAGGAACCAACTATGTTGCTGGAGAGTTTCCAGCTTTGCTATTAATAATCAAGTATGCTCTTTCTGGAATTTCTTTTAGAAGGTTACAATTTCTTCCTATAGCATTGGGTTTACATTTGTGCAAGTTAAGTCTTGAGTTGGACTAACAAATAACATAGATTTTTATTATCTTTCTATTTGCTTAGACTTTTACTCTTGTTTACTCTATTTCATCTTCCCAGTCAGGCTAATGATTTGGCTTCACCTTACTGTTTACTAATGTTCTGATTAATGTAATAAATTTGCTAATTTCCCATACCTGTACTCTTAGGGAAGAATTACAAAAAAGTGGCAATATTTAAAAAAAGAAAAAGCAATATCATTTTTCTAATAGATAATTACAGTTTGACAAATATTCAATCTTAAACATGAAAATTGTGTTTGCTATAAAGAAAGGGGAAATTTATTGCCTAGCACATGGCAGGAGTTTGGTGATTCGTTTTCACTAATTTCTATGGGACTTGCAGTTAGCGTAATGGCTATGTCGCTGGACTCCCATGTAGTCCACTGCGGTTCAAGTCCCAGACCCAGTGGCTTAAACTCACGCTGGGCGCACATCCCGAGAGGAGAAGGGATTGTGGTATGGCCATCCCCTCCTGGGGGGGTGATTTTTTGCTCTCTGTCTCTCTGTCTCTCTCTGTCTTTCTGGCGAGTGCACGTGCCTTATAGCAAAAACCTCTCAAAAAAAGAATTATTCAGTTTTCACTGATTTTTAAACAATTAGGAAACCTGTTTTGTTTTACCAACAAAAGGGTTCACGTAGTCGTTGCTGAGCCAATCTACTAATGCAGAAGCATATAAACAATTAGAAAAATCATTTTCCAGTAAAACATATCCAACTGTTCAGTAGTGGTGGCTGTTTCAGCTCGACATGTTAATGTGATAGTAACCTTGGTACAGTATAAATATGAATATCCTGTCATGTGCAATTCCTTATAGACCCAGTTTGGTTCTTCTTCAATGTTTCCTCTTGGAGTTGCATCTGATTTTATTACCAGTTTTCATCTGGATCCACTGGGAATTGGGACATTCTTTTGCTTCCTGGCTAGGAATCTCCTGATCCTGAAAGTCTTGTGAGAAGAGAGCGCAAGGAATAGAATCAACTACACACACCACAATGGTGGAGCAAAGGAGGAAGCTTTGGGAACCTTTTCTGAACCAAGCTTCTTTCCTATCTCTTTCAGATGGACCTCTCCACCCTTCTAGATTGTCCACTTTCAATGTCCTTGATTATTGTAAGGTACATTATCACACCTTGATCTCAGGATTGCCATACTAGGTCAGATCCATAGGCCAAAAAGCCCAATATTCTAAATCCTGAAAGTTACACTAAGAAAGTTACACAATACGGAAATTGGAGTAATATGGAAGGTTATCCTCGATAATATCACCCTGATAGAAAATGAACATCCCTATGTCACACAACCCAAGCTTCCCTTCCTGTATCACTTATCTATTGCTACAATAACATTACATAACAAACGACTCAAAATCTCAATTTTATGTGTTTATTGTTGAGATGCCTTGAATCACTGGAGGTTGGAAGGTTGCTCTGCTGATCTTGGCTGGATTTGCTTACGAGTCTGGGGCTTGGCTTCTGCTGGGGCAACTATTACACATGGCTTTCAGTTTTAGTTGGCTAGCTCAGGTAGGTTCTCATGGCAAAAACCAAGGTGCAGATGACAAGTCCAATTATTCAAGTCTATTTTGAGCCCCAGCTTGTGCCGTGTCTACTAACACCCCCATTAGTCAAAGCAAGTCACATGACAAAGGACATGGACATATAACCTGCAATGAGATGGCACTAGAAAGTGGCATGACCTTGGACATTATTATATAGAAGGTTAAGAACTGGGTTCATCAATTCAATTGATCACACTTCCTTAACCAGAGTGGATCTACAATCCATTCACTTAAGCACATAGTTTATATAAAGGTTATTATAGTTTTCAATGTCTCACTGATTTTAGATTAAAGAATGGCCCAGTTTTACAAGTCGTACCAGTTTCACCACCTGTGGTATAAATGACACTTGACACTTTCTTCTATTTATTCTGACTTTATGCCTTTTGTGCTTTCAGTGTCACCACCTTTCTAGAATGAAGAAATTTGGCCAATAAACTATCTTTTCTTGTTCTATCTCAGAATTTTTTTTGTTTTTAAATCAGGCTTTCCTTTATATTTTTATTTCTCTCTTTTTTTTTTAAGAGAAAGAGAAGTACCCTCAGCAGTCTCACACCATGATCCTCCCAATCTTAGTCTTTCAACCTACTAGGCTCATAAGCACATATATGAATTCCCAGCATATACAGATCAACCAGTGAACCAAACAAAAATCTTCCATATGGCTTCCAGCATTGCAGAGCATTACACTACTGCTGTACCACCATGGCTGGGCCTTAAGTCAGGCTTTATGGAGCTTCTAACTCTGATATCCTGAAAGCATTCTGATTGCTCTTTCTGTGAGTACAGTCTCCATTTCCAAAATTCTTCCTTGAAGCATGACCACAGCATTGTGCTCCTAAAGGCATCGACTTAAAACTCACACTGAGTATGTGTGCATGCATACCCAAGATCCCAAGAGGAGAATGGAGAAGGGACTGTGGCATGGCCATCCCCCTGGGGAGTGAGTTCTCTCTTTCTATCTCTGTCTCTCTGGCGAGCACATGCTCCCTATAGTAAAAATCTCTCTTAAAAATTTTAAAATAAAAAAAGAAACACTAAGTGGTCTTAAACACATTCATGAAAATTTCAAATATTTTTGATTATTTTTAGTTTACAGTGGATTGATGTAGCAACTGCCCTATTGCATCAGGGGATTTCAATACATGTGATCAGAGAATAGGAAGAGCCATTGCCCTTCACAGCCACCGCCTCCCTCCCCAGGTAAATCCACACAGGTGTACCTAAGTGTACTATTGTACATTTCACCACAGCATGGGGAAAGAGGTATCTGGCTCTATGCTTGTTTCTTACATTTAAATAGTCTCATTTTCCCTATACTTTCTTCCAGTTTAGCCGCACTTAGTGATTTATGGTCTTTCATTTCTGGTCCTTAATCAATGAGTATAATTCAAAAGTGATAGTACTTGGGTCAACCACAATGGAAATGCAAACCATGTTGCTGAAGCCATATGAGAAGGCCCTGGGTTTGTATCCTGAGGTCTGTCTGTAAATACAGGGCACATGTGCGTCTGTGATTCTGGTTGGCTGAGGCTGGAGCTGGATTGCAGCCTGAAGACCCTGTTAAGGGTGCCCCGTAGTCATGAAATGAATGAATGAATGAATGAATAAAGTGATAGTACTTTTATGATCCAGGTATAGTTTCAGCAGTCATTACTACATCTCATTTCATGACATGGCTTCTCAGGATCTGGGCTCTCAACAGAACTATTATATGTCTCTTCAAAAATGCTTAACTCTCTCACAGACCAATAGTAATGTCTTAGTATTCTCTAACGCACACGAGCATCAAGTACTAGTAGAGTAGTTTTGAGTATTCATGTAGTCTTCATGACAACACTATAAGACAGATATGAGCGCTAAAAAATAATGGATCAAGGATTTGGATATAGGCAGTTTGGCTCCAAAGATACTAGGAATGATGTTAGTGTACCTTCAACATGACCCAAGAACCAGTCAGATGAGGATGAAAACAAATACACAATAATCTGCAGTAACCTTCAACAAAGATCAAATAGCAACTGAGAAAAAAGCTACAGTAAAAGATGAATAGATAAAGAGAGTAAAGAGAGGTAACACCAAAATATGAGATGAGATTAAATATCTCCTATGACAACAATAGGCTATCAAAATCTTCAGGCTTTTCTTGAGGTTAGAAAAATAGAAGAAAAATACCTTAATGGATTTCAAATGAGGCAATATGACTCAGATTTCATTTGTTCAGTGAATGGCAGTAATTTCATTTAAACATGCAACCCACTAATTGCTTGAGAAAATAAGCTCTCAGACTGCATATTTTGAAGACAAGTGTTGCTGGAAAGTGCCCCCAAAATATTTCCTTGAATAACATTGTTCACTTTTCTACCACTTAAATGTGTAAGAATACTGCTTTGGGATCTATAAGAGAATACATTTCTAAATCTTTGCATCAAACAGAACATCTTACCTTCCCAGAACACTAGGAGATTTATCAGAATTTATTTAACTATAGTTTTTCTTGGACTGCTCTACTTGGATTTTGTGACCTTCAGAAGTCCCTCAGAGCTATGTGAAAATGAAGGAAGAAATTTTCAAGTCCATCTTTTCTCTTCCCATGATCAGCTTAATTACTAGCTAGTTCTTCCTCTAAGGCCCCAGTTGCATTTTTCAGTTAACATATCATTTGTAGAGAGTCTTCAGGTATCTCTGCTGATGTTGTAGGCTAAATTAAGTAATTAATTCAATAATTTAGGACATTTCCATAAAATATGAGGTTATCAGGAAAGTCATGATGTATTTTTCTGTTTTTCTATGCAAAAGATGTGTCATGACTTTCCCAATGACCCAATACTTTAAAACTTGATTATGATCATTGTGGTGGTAACTTTAGAGAGTATGTTTACTTGTTTCTAAGGCTCTAGACTGAGATCAGAGAAGTATTTGTAAAAGTTTTCCTAATGAACTCTGGGGACTGTTACATTTAGTCATCTTGGACTCCAGAATTAGAGATTTGAAAGGCAACATCCAACTTCACAGCTCAGAGAATTTCTTTGATTTCCTTTTTCAGTTTTATAGGCAGTAATCTAATCTTTGAGAAGCAACAAATATCCCTATGTAGCCAGGAGAACTCACCATCTTTTGGATATTCTCTTCAGTAATATTGGTGTTATAATCCCAAGACGCCAGTGAACTTTGATGAGACAGTTCTTCAGCCTCAATGTTAAACTTGTTCAAAAATACCTTGGCCTCTTCTTCAATGGTTGTCTGAGCAGCAGTTACAGCAACGAGGCTGAGAAGGAGCCAGGGAGAGGCTGCCATCTTTCCCTCTATGCCAAGATCCCATCCACTGGATAACTTTCCCTAGAGTGAAACCTCCTCATGAGTTTTGCTCTCTCATCAGCCTTTGAACTTGGGTTGGGCACTGAGCAGAGAAGACAGAAAGAAAAAAAAAAAAGAAGAAGGAGAGAATAGTAAACAATCTGTTTAACCAATATAAAGTTTATCTTGCAGAGGACAGAAATATATAAACAGATTTTTAAATGATTTTATAAAGTAATCAAATAAACAAATGTTACTCATTAATCTTAGAGAACCTTAGCTTTCCTAGTACTTTGTGACCCAATCAAAACTTTCATATTTGGTTAATATGTTCCTAAAAAGTTGTTAAATATATACTGAAGGTGCTATAATTTTACAGTAACCAAATAGGCCTATAGTTAGGGATTATGGGAGTAATGCTGGTGTTTATACATTTTTCAGACATCCATTCATAGTCAGTTAGCCTTTCTTCATTTTTATTTCAAGTTGATATTTGGAGAATCTCTCTACTTGGGTTAAGTTTCCATTCCAAATAAACAAATTTGTGTTTGTCTTAATTAAATTCATTTTTTCTGATCACTTCAAATTTCCATGGCCATTTTCAAAAAGTTTAAGACTACCCTCCACTCTACGAATGAGCTCTCCTGGTCTGGATTTGGAACACTTAAAAAGATCTGCTTTGTATTTCTCAGATGACCATATTAAACACTGGCTCTAAGGCTGACTTCCCTTTCACTTACCTGTTCAAAAGTGAGTTGAGTTCATAAGGAAGTAAAAGTGCCCCAGTGTCCATGACAAGTTCTGGCCATCCATAGCCATGGGGTCATGGCAACATAGAATTCTAAGATTTCAGTGGGTGTCTTGGAAAGTCTCAAAAGCTGGCTCTGTGTTGTCATTCCCAGATGATAGGCATGAGTGTCATAAATAAGAGAGGAGCTGCTTTAAATGACAGGGCTCATGGGCCTGCTGGACTGTGATTGTGAAACTGTTGCACAGAGAAAACATTTCTTCACCCAGAAAAACAAGTCTTCCAGGTTCAGGTGAATGGCAAAAATCAAGCCTTAAAAAAATTCTTACTTTTCCCCATTCCAAAGCTATACATATTATTGTAAAATAGGAAAAAAAACCCAAATATATAAGTAACTACTCAAAGTCCTTTGTGTGGTAATATAGCATTTAAGTATCACAACAAACCTATAGGCAAATATTGTTATCACCATTTTACAGATTATGAAACTGAGCTTAAATAAATTGTCAAGCCTCACTCAACTAATAAGTAGTGGTGTCAGAACAGAGGCCCATGCAATCCAGGTCATTAACTAAGTTGTAGTCAACAGTCTAGAGTAATAATGGAGGTATAGACAAAAAGAGCCCAGAAACTTGTGCCTTCAGTGAAGATGATGCATTTGCTTACCTGCATAAAAAAGAGGTGGGCTCCTACTATTCTTGATGTGAATCAAAATATACTATCCCTTCCAAAGGTAAAACAGCCAACAAATTTAAGTAATAATAAGGAATGTTAAAAGAAAATGAGCTCATAATTTACTGTATTTCTCAGATTAGCTAAAAGTTGGGACTTCGAATGCTCCCAATACAAAGAAATGACAAATGTTCGAGATGGTATACTAATCCCCCTGATAGAATCATAACATATTATATTCTTGTACTGAAAAAATCAAACTGACTCCTATAAATATGTACAATTACTTTGGTAATAATAATCTTAATATTCAATAGCAATAAGAGTGGGGAAAAAATATCAGTACAGAAGTTTCAGTGAGTCTCCTCCCACATCTGAGGAAGGTGAAATCATCTGTTTCTCACAAGTATTAGGGAACAAAATAGGCAAGCAAAAGGGGATCAGCATGTGAGTCTCTAAACAAAGACTTGGAATGTTACTTTAATAAAAGCTGAAATAAATCTCTACTCAAATAACGTTCTGAATGAAGAGCTTGGGTTTGGAGAGAAAATAGGAGTAGTCCAAATTTAATTCACTGAAACAGAAAATAAGATTAACATGATCAAATTGAAATAGGGAAAACAAGAGACCAGCAGTTGGCATAATGGCTATGTCCCTGCACTCTAAAATAGTCAACTGCAGTTCAAGTCCCAGACCCAGTGGCTTAAACTCATGCCAGGCGTGTGTGCATATGTGCCCAAGATCCTGAGAGGAGAATGGAGAAGAAGGGATTGCGATGTGGCCATACCCCCTGGGGGTGATTTCTCACTTTCGTCTCCCTGTCTCTCCCTGTCTTTTTGGCGAGTGCACACGCCCCCTAGCAAAAACCTCTCCAAAAAAAAAAAGAAAAAGAAAAGAAAGAAAAAGAAATAGGGAAAGCAAGATACAAAGTCTGAGAACTAAAAGACAGATGAACAAGGAACCTGAGATAACAGGAGGCAGGAAAATGCTGGAAATCAAGACACTTTGAGAAGTGATGGCAATGGGGAAATTGCCTGCAGCGGTTCTGTAGAAAACTAGCTCACAACGGTCAACTGTAAGTCCTGACTGAAATTTTTGTTCAATCTCTGCCGAGAAGACAGTTCATGTTCTGTTACCGCAAGTGTTCTCTCTGAACCCAATCTGAGAATGGAAAGAATCCATCAGAGACTCGGGGAATGGGACCCAGCAAAACAACTGGCCTAAAGGAATATGTTGTCTTAGAGAAAGAAGAGAGAACCAGAAAAAATTAGAAGACTGGAGATACAAGAAAGTTATTCTAATTCAGGTGTGGGGGAATGAATTTTTTTTTAAGAGAGATTTTTGCTATAGAGCACATGCACACACCGGAGAGACAGAGAGAGAGAGAGAGACAGACAGACAGACAGACAGACAGAAAGTGAGAAATCCCCCCTGGGGGAATAGCCGCACAGCAATCCCTTCTCCTCCATTCTCCTCTCAGGATCTTGGGCATGCATGCACACGACCTCAGCATAATTTTTAAGCCACCAGGTTCAGGACTTGAACCAGGGTCAACTACATGGGACTCCAGTGATGTAATCGCGACACCATCCGCTGATCCCTGGGGGATGGGGAGGGCAAATTTTATAAATGACAGAGGAAGAGATCTGACAAAACTACTAAATATAACTTTTAGATGTGGGTTGCACTTGGTCCATTAGGTATTCACTAGGAGCGAGAGGCTGCCTACCTTATTTCCTCTCTGATAAAAGTATACAATAGAGGGGGAAAAAACAAAGTGACAGCGTATCTTCCACTTTAATAAAGACTTTAATAAAACGTAAGTGCCATGACTAGATCAAAACAACTGTACAGTACAGGATTGGGCAGTCCTCTGATCAACAAGAATTCCTGTTCAGGGACAACTAGTGGCATGGTGGTTAAGGCAGCTAGATCCCACATGGCCGACTATGCAGTTTGAATCCCAGACCTGGTGGCTTGAGAAACATACTGGGCACATGCACGTGTGTGTCCCCATTCCCAACAGGATGGAGAAAAAGAAGAAAATGGTGTGACCATTCCCTATGTGTTTGGGGGTGCTTTCTTCCTCTCTCTCCCTCTCTGTCTCTCTGTCTCTCTCTGGGAAGTGCATGCACCCTCTGGCAAAATTTTAAATAATAATAATAATTTAATAAAAGAGTTACTATCCAAAACAACAAGAGTCTTAATTCAACCATTATTTATTTACTACCTACTATATGCCAGGCACATATTGAATATATACTAATAAATAAGACAAGAAAAGTTCCTATGAATGTTTTATTATATGAGGTGAGGATAGAGAAAAAATAAATAACTGGTGATTAATATAGTACTATGACTTACAGTAAGCAGAAAATGGAGGCTTGAGAATTACAGGAGGAGGAGAAATATTTTCTATAAGGAGGACCTCCCTGAGAAGGTGACATGTGAACAGAGACTTGAAAGAAGTGATGAAAACCCTGTGGATAACCGTAGGAAGACTTTTCTAGGCAGAGACAACAGCAAAGCAAAGGCAGGCCTCAAGGACATCAGAAGCCTTTGTGGCTGGAGCCGTGCATAGAGGGGAAAGCAACAGGACAGAGTCAAGGAGAAAGCTGGGGCCACACCTGCAGGGCCCTAAAGACCATATTCTGACTTTGGCTTTTACGTTGAGCAGTGTGGGAAGACACTGGAAGTCTCAAAGCAAAGAAGTGATCTGGCAAAAGTTTTAAGAAGAGCATTCTGGCTGCTGCTTGGAGGGCAGACACCAAGGGTTAAGGGAAACACAAAGACCAGTAGTAATGAGTTACTGCAGCAGCCAGTCATGCCAATTGAATAAAAGCATAATATGAGATGTAATTCCAACTTTTTTTTTTTTTGGGAGATTTTCACTGTAGGGCGCGTGCGCTCGCCAGACAGACAGAGAGAGACATAGAGACGAAAGCCCCCCCCCCCCCCAGGGAGGATGGCCACGCCACAATCCCTTCTCTTCCATTCTCCTCTTGGGATCTTGGGCACGCATGCACACGCACCCGGCGTGAGTTTTAAGCCACCGGGTCTGGGACTTTAACTTCAGCCGACTACATGGGAGTCCAGCAACATAGCCATTACGCTAACTGCTGGTCCCAG